TGAAAGCTCTAGAATAGCAGTGTTCAAATGCAATAGATCTTTATACAAAAGGTACCACAAACTGTCATGGCATTTTACGTTATATTGGCTGCCAATTATCTTAAAAATACCGCCGTTTTAGACATTGGCACAATCTGGGTATCTAAAAGATGGTTTCCGATGACAGAATCACATGTTTTAACGGTCATTTTTAGACCTACAAGATCGAGGAGGCTGTTCTCTTTGAGGGGCAGTTTTGTTTCTTATGTTGGAAGGAGCACTTTTTTAATCCTATCCCCCAATCTTTTAGCTGTACGTCCTACGTCCAGCTTGATTCAACGTACGACCACTCCTCGATCTTGTAGGTCTAGAAACACCGTGCCAGAGTTTATAATGAGGACATGTTTCAGATACTTGGTAGAGCTAGGTCGTCATTTCATCTAGCAGTTTTGCAATGATGTTATCTGCTGGCCCCATTCATTAACTGTCCAGTGGATCTGCTGGCCCCAAAAGGTTTTTTGTTTCCCCTGCCTTTCCATCCTTCTGAAACCCAGTATCTTTCATCAACACATTTTCAATGAAGTTACAAATGACAAATAACAATAACCACGGTAAAAATGATGCAGAAACAATACCACTGGGAACATATAAGTATATATTACAGCAGGGGTGCCGTCATAAAAGTTAAGAGGCGGGGTACAGCCAATACATTTCTTTGATTTTCTATTCTATCAGTTGCTTTGTTTGCGATACCTCTATGGCCAATCAACGTTTTCTTAAAACGTTTTGCTCAGATTTATATAGGTATATGTAAATGATATATTACGAACAAAGATTTTTGAATAGCGCAATTTTTAATAATTACCAGATAGTTTTTGCCGTTGCTCGCTTTTTTTATTTTTTTTAATAACTCGAGTCTCGGGTGTACTTAATGTTGCTCTTATTTCAACTGTTGTTATTTACATTTACAGTCAGTAAGTTGTTTCTAAGATCGCAAAATAAGTTTTCCATGGAACGTTCAGTAGCCCGGTTGACAAGCTGATATTTTTCCGTCTGTTTTGTCAACACAGACGGAAACGTTTCAAAAACACATTTTTTTGTTTTCTCCTTTTCCAGATGAGGATGGCAAAGTTTCTAAGTAAATGTGTTCTTAAATAGGTGTTTCTGAATAAATCTTGGTCGAAAAATATCAGACATCCTGGGAAGTAATTTACTGAAGGCAAACTGGATCTTTTTAATCTTACTGTATTTTTCATATGACTTCAAATATCATTTTTTTACGGTGCTATGAAAGAGCTATTGAATTGACAGGCTTATATGTTTCTAAGTAAATGTGTTTTTAAATAGGTGTTTCTGAATAAATCTTGGTCGAAAAATATCAGACATCCTGGGAAGTAATTTACTGAAGGCAAACTGGATCTTTTTAATCTTACTGTATTTTTCATATGACTTCAAATATCATTTTTTTACGGTGCTATGAAAGAGCTATTGAATTGACAGGCTTATATGTTTCTAAGTAAATGTGTTTTTAAATAGGTGTTTCTGAATAAATCTTGGTCGAAAAATATCAGACATCCTGGGAAGTAATTTACTGAAGGCAAACTGGATCTTTTTAATCTTACTGTATTTTTCATATGACTTCAAATATCATTTTTTTACGGTGCTATGAAAGAGCTATTGAATTGACAGGCTTATATGTTTCTAAGTAAATGTGTTTTTAAATAGGTGTTTCTGAATAAATCTTGGTCGAAAAATATCAGACATCCTGGGAAGTAATTTACTGAAGGCAAACTGGATCTTTTTAATCTTACTGTATTTTTCATATGACTTCAAATATCATTTTTTTACGGTGCTATGAAAGAGCTATTGAATTGACAGGCTTATATGTTTCTAAGTAAATGTGTTTTTAAATAGGTGTTTCTGAATAAATCTTGGTCGAAAAATATCAGACATCCTGGGAAGTAATTTACTGAAGGCAAACTGGATCTTTTTAATCTTACTGTATTTTTCATATGACTTCAAATATCATTTTTTTACGGTACTATGAAAGAGCTATTGAATTGACAGGCTTTTCGTGACTTTTTTCTCACATCCACTGTCAGAGAGTGTTGTAAAGTTGCCAACAAGTAAACTATACTGCTTTGAAGACGCCCTAATAGCGGTACTCTTTTCGCGCACTTTATCAATCAACATATAAAAAAGCAGCTACATTGGTCGAAGAACAAAAGACAAAACGTTTAGATGTCTTCAATATTTTATTTGTTTGGTTATGACCTCAGCATTGCAATGTTTTGTTGTTGGATGGTCGTAGCATTTTGGCACAGGAAAGGCAGAAATGCCACAAAAAAGTTGCGGGAATGTTATTCTGATAAACCACAACATGGACCTATCCACTGACGAACGAATTTGTTCAAAGACAGTCTTAAGCTCTACTTCCATTTGAAGCATTTTTCAACTAAGGGGACCTGTATTTCATTTCGTCATCCATAAATACTGGTAAGTTATTTCAAGCATGATCTTTACATTTTTGCCGAGTGTTGATTGTTTATAATTCACAGCTTTTGTAACTGTCACACGGAATTAAATCAAGGAAACAATGAAAATTCAGTGGATGTGACCAGTTTATGTCATATGTAATACGGACATTATCAACGAAGAAATATACTTTGTTTACACGATGAAAAATGAAGGGGTCATATGAAATACTATATAGGCCAGAAATTCTTTGTTGCTGTACATTTTAAATACCGTTTACATGAACTGATTAAAAAAGAATTTCAGGACATGCCTTCAGCCTTATTTCTCTAGGTTTGACCTCTGGGTTTGTCCCTTTTTACTCAATATGCTTTCAAGTGCTTCCGCCAAAAGAAACCTACGGATGTGCTAAACGTAAGAGCAAGACCAATTGGTGCCAACTTTTGCTTGTCTGAAAATCCAGAATGATTAAATATATTTTAGAACAAGGCTAATCCAAAGATCACATTGGAAACAGAAACTTTTTTCCTCGCTATTCGATGTTTTTGGATAGGCCGCAGCGATAAATTTCATCCAATTTCATACAATTTTCTCTCTAAAACATGCTTCTGCTGAGGTCTCGAACCGTTTTTTTTTTATTTCAAAACAGCAATTTTCCGGCAATCGATAGTGCTTCAGTACAGCGTTTGTATGCACTTACAAGGGCATGCCTTACTGTCTGGAATGCATACGTCTTATTCTTGATAAACAAAACGTACGCACAGAGGCTAAAATAGCACTTGTGATACTTTTTTGAGACGAAAATTTCCATCTTTGCTTGAAAAACTTAATTGCATTTTCAGTCTGAATTTCCAGAAATTTTCTCGACAGGTTTGAGATTTGACTAAAATTCGCCCTCTTGGAGATGCAATAGTTTAGCAGCTTGTTCATTTTTAGTAATTGTTCGTCGTTTGAAGATTTAGAAATAAATTATTTGAAAAACATATATTTTCTTTCATAATTTAACAAAAACTTTATAAGCACAAAGTTTTCTAGCTACAACTTCTAGCTACTATGAACATAACTTGTTAGCATATTCAAATTTCTCCGTTTTTGGTGTTCACACTGAAAACGGAGCGTACTCAATACGCGGTACTCAAAAGTATCCATACTATTTTGGGTCTTCAAACGCTCCATTTTCAAAGCAGAGCAGTGTGAACGCAAGGCAAAAAAGGGATAGGTTTGACTCAATTTTCATTTAAAAGCAGAGCAGTGTGAACGGGTCCCTAGTGTAAACTGTCTGTGCTTGCTTTTTGCCACGTTTCAATCGTTTCTTCATACAAACAACGTTTCTTTGATGCAACATATTAATGGTACCGAAAGCCAGACATTTAGATTGAGTCTGGAATGCAACTTCAATGTCCATTTAAAACATTGAATATCTAATTCTTTGCTTTTTGAGAAAAATATTTAAGTTTTTGCTACATTCTTTTTAATTACTCTTTGTTTCTTTGCCAGAGGTAATGACTGTCAAACACAAATATGTTATAATTTTGTTTAATCAAACTGGTATCTAAGACTTTTGTAAAATAATATACTGATTTGTTTCTGGTAAACAAGGCGTAAAGTACATGCAATGGAAACTTTTCTTTTAGGTTGGTTAAGAAAATGATATTGTCCGATAATGACCGAAGTTTTCAGTTAGCCATTCCTTGATCCAAAGTCTTTTACAATAGATGAATTGGATCCAACGGCAGTCGAAAAATATCGAAGTGGCTTGAGCCATTTGTCAATTGATATAAGTCAACCAATAAATATATTTACTGAAAGATGGGCCAAGCTTAAGTAGTGTCTATCGATTGCCTTTGAAACATTGAGGGGCCTCTTTTTTCTTCCATTTACACACATACTTACACCTTATTTACACGAAAACCCCCATGAACATCCTCTCATGAACATCCCGCCCCGAATTTGCATCAAAGATGCCCCTTGGAAGAACTATAGATAAAGAGAAGTATACACAATTTGGTATAAATGCAATTTCGTAAGGTAACGAGCCTCAAAATTGGTCAAAGGGTAAAGAACAAATTGAGTTGTCAAATGATGACGTCACAAAAATGTGCTTTTAGAACTTTTGATATTTGTTCCCATAATCTGAAAGAGCACTATGAAATACCTCTAAATCTGCAAAATCAATTTAAAGATATTTCGAATTGGCTGATATATGACCAGATGAGCACAAGCTCTGGCCCCATCAAATTAATCAAATCTCTCTAATTTGGTCTCAGTTAGAACTTTATGAACTGAGCCAAAATAACAGTAATCCGTTAGCAAACTTAAAATTATCTATTGGCCATAGCTCACCCGATTTTCGACAAATTTAACTGATTTTGCACATGTGGGAGTATTTTATTGTGTTCTTTTATGTTATTTGGTCAAAATTCTAAAATTCTAAACAGTTAACAAACTGTGACCTGAGCTACTGCGAAATGTAATTTTAAACAATGTTGTGAAACCCCCTAAAGAAATTTTATCTCAAAAGCGAGGAGCTTCTGCAATCTAGTGGTGCATTTTTTCGGTGAATTTTTCAAACTTGTCGGCTAATAAAGGACGTCTCTTGCAATTCTGTTGGCAGATGAGGCCTGAAAACTCCCCTAAGGCGCACTGCTTACGTCAAAACGGGTTCTTGTAAAGGAAAGAGTGTATGTACTCTAGTCGAATAATAGACGCGGGTCCGGAAAAAGCTTCGGTGTTTTGGAGTTTGAAAAAATTGGTCAAGCGGTGGTCAGAATAAATGGAGTGGAATAAACGGTCCAAATAAACGCAGATTGTAAAAAAAGTGATGAAAAATCGATAAACAGTACATCTCAATTTTGTAACAAAGCAGGAAAATTTTAGGAAAACTTTGTGTTTGGCTTCCGTTGTCATGCAGCATTGTAAGATTATCCGGTATATAACAACGAAAGAACACCCCAACTCGAACTTCAATACTCCATTTCGTATTCTCACGCATAACATAACATAACAAACCGAGCGCATGCCCAACATTACATAAATACGTGGCTAATAACGTCACAAGCATAGGCAGAAAAAGTAGCAGCTTTGATATTAAAATTTTTGTTAACAGCATATTGGTTGTTTCTGACCTCAAAAATGAAGAATATTTCTATACATTTTACCGTTTTCCCAAATAAACAAAGAACACCTCGCCATCACGATCCACCAATAGTATTGAGGTGACCCTGGATTGTTTTGTTATGTTTTGACAAGATACACGTTTGGCCAATCAGTATTCAGTTACCTTGCACGTGGCTTCAGAAGCCAAAGTTGTGAAAATTTCTTGCAAAAATTTGGACCTCTAAAGTAGGAAATAATAAATTTGGTCCTAGTTAAAACCAAGTTTAAAAACTAAGGAAAACAAAACGGTACAAGCTTTCTCTAGGCACACTTGACAAACACGGGCCACTAGTAACGGTATGTAAACACCGCTTTCAAGTCAAGGTGCAGGTGACAATTTATAACAGGCGCAGTCGAGGCTCTCACACTATTAATGCACTGTCTTGAATGCGACTCGTCTCAAATACCGATCTTGGTTGTAAACTTTAGAGTTATTAGCTGTGAAAAGATTTGCCAGACAAATAATCTCATCTGGCGCCCGTGCAAAACGCGCAATAGGATATTGTGCGCACAACCAGTATCTCTCCGCTTGATAATTCGTTCGCGCGGCCATCGTTTCGCCACTTCTCACCTGTTGTTTTGAATTCCTTCTTCAGAGATGCCAGACGAGGGTTCACCTGATCCATTGTCAGGAGGTTTGGCGAAATCATTTACAAACACGCTTACGACTGTAATGAATCAGACCATCTCAGAAGATAGGGTTGCTCAAGGAGAAATGGTTGAGGATTCAAAAATACCCGTCTGTGGTGAAATCAAGGATCCGAATATAAAAGTGACGTTGCAAAATAAGGAAATATGGGACAAGTTCCATGCCTGTGGGACAGAAATGATTATCACCAAAGCAGGAAGGTATGCAATTGTTCTCTTCATTCAAATCTTAAATTTTTCCCAAGTGACCGGTGACTCAAGGATGATACTGGATGCTCTAACAATCTCATGATGCATTGACCCATTCTATCTAAATCCCTATATGGTGCATTTGGCTAACCAGTGCCAAAAACAAGATTCTTCGAGCAAGCCAATTTTGACACGACTGTATATCATCCTGCGAACCCAACTATCGCTTCGTTTCATCTTGTACAGCAACTAGGCCGCTGAATTGAAGTGCTAAGATGGATCGAAATCGAAGCTCATTAAGAAACTAAGATAATGTTCATTTTATTTCACAACTACTTGAGTTAATTGTACATGGTTGTTAGCAACTATGCACCGCATATTAACAGCCAATTCTTGCCAATTTGAACAGTGTTCAAGTCCCTTGCTCATCCACTCCAGGGTAGGAAACTTCTTTCTGATATTATTAGCCTATACAGGCCTTGTGGCTCTCACCCTTTAATCATGGAACACCTTTCTATTTTAAACCTAACACTCGAACTAGATACGGCCTTCATGTTTCGTTGAAAGGGTGGTATGAAGTCTTGACGAAGGCAGTGATATTTCATTAGTATTTCTAAAAGAGCAATACCACGGTTTTCCTTCATTTACTTAGATATCTGCATTTTGGTGTTTGGTAAGATTTCTAAGGCATTAGCAATATGTGTTTGTAGTTATACTGAATATCAAGGAACACTTTTTGAAGCGGCCAACGAATTTTTACAAAAATATCCTTTAAAAATGCTAAAAGCACAGTCAATTGTATTTAAGACTTTAATCTGATGGGTAAGAGTGCATACAGGCACATACCTAATTATAAACTGAACTATTTCTAATAATTTTTGAGTATAATAGTTTTTCCTGCTAATTCGATATTTGTAGATGTCGAATTTTTTACATAGTAACGGTTCGCGGTTAACGGAGTTTATGACAGTTTGCAGTGGAAATAAAAACGCAACAGTATTTCAGAGAGTAATAAGACTTCAGATCTCCAATTCTTACTTCTCTCACTGTTGGAATTAATAGTTTAGACATTGAAAAATACGTCAGGAACACCAAAGAGGATTTTACAGTTGCAAAAGATTCCATTATCAGAATAGATTGTTATTTTGACTTTTTTCAAGTGTGGTGGCTGGTTACTGTCTATCGCAATAGGACTCATTGAAGAGGTTTACAGAATGTGCTAGTGCCAATGGTGTGGTTATTTGGGAAGGTTGTTATCTATTTAGGTTTAAATCACTTCATATTAATACAGAGGTGCATTATAAAGGAATGATGAAAAGGTTTCATTTTTTTTATAAACGCATCAGACACAATGAATAGCTTCATTTGACCTGATTTAGAGTTATGCTTGAAACGTCGTACTCATCTTTTATTCGTGTACAAAGCCGTTATTTAATTGTATTAATTTTTCTCATTACTCGACGTACAACACACTCACCTACATTAATGATCAATTTAGCATTGCAAAAAAATTCACTTCAAACTCAAGACGATTTTTAGTTACGTTATAAACACTACAATACAGGTTTTTGAAAAATTAGACAAAATTTCAGTCAAAAAAAAATGTTTTTACCTGTCTAAAAGAAATTACAAAATGAAAAGTGGTTAACGGGATGACTCACTTTTTGCTCGAAAAATATTGTTAGATTTTTGATGTTTTTAAACCAAAGATGGTTTTATAGGATTGAACGTGATATTGGTTAAACATTGTATATTGCTGAGAAGCTCATCACAATTATGTCAAGTCTAACACAGGACATTCAAGCTAAATGTTTATCAGCAACCTCCTCCTTAGTTTACCGTTCTTTTGCAACTTAAGGTAATTTTTTTAAGTAAGGCAATATGTAAGAAGCTAGTAACAGGAAACAGTCCGTGCATTTACAATGTTGAAAATGTTAAATCTTCTGTACACTTATCTCAAACTTTTTATTGAAATAATCATTCTGAAGAGAATATTTCTAATTGAACGAGCAAAAGGAATTATTGGGAACGTTTCTATAGGACTTGAACAGTGAATCAAATCTTCACCAGTCGAACTGTTGTACATAAAATAAACTGCATCAAAGTGTTTCGGTTGCATCTTGCCATATTTTCAGCTTAGATTTTCTCAGTATATTTTCAACAGTGAATAATCCCGCACAGATTAATTAGTAGATCCGAAAATGTTTAATAGAAGGCACTATAATCTTCGTTTTCCTCTCGAGCGTTTGCTTGTTAAATTTCTGTAATAATAACGTTCATCCTTTATATTTATGTTTAAACTTATATTATTGAGATATTGACTGGAGAGCTTAAGTTAAAGGAAACAATCAGCAGTGTTCATTATATTTTCACCTTGCAATTTTTGGATTATATGAAAGTCAAAAGTATTTGTAACAGGGAAAAAGTTATAAACAATTTTTACAAGAACTTAACCCCAGAAAAGGTTATCGGTTTCTTAACATTTTCTTCAATTTTGTAATTTTGGTGCTCAAAGTTTCTTAAAGCTTATTAAAGAGCAAGTGGTAAAGAGCTACTTTTAGAAACCCACTAACGTAACATAAAAGACAAAGAAGTTACAGAACACATTGTAGGAAGCAAAGAGCTTTCTATTTTGCTATATATGTCGATTTAACAGAAAAAAAATTCCTTTCTATCCGACATTTCAAAGATTTTTAGACTATTCCTGAAGGGTTGTCAATACTATGGTTGTCGAAGTTTTTTGTTTACATCAGTGCACGGTTGCGGAAGGAGAAAGTGTTTTATACCCTTTTTTGTCATTTAAATCTAGACAATTTGAAAGGAAAGGGAGATATGTCGATTTAACAGAAAAAAAATTCCTTTCTATCCGACATTTGAAAAATTTTTAGACTTTTCCTAAAGGGTTGTCAATACTATGGTTGTCGAAGTTTTTTGTTTACATCAGTGCACGGTTGCGGAAGGAGAAAGTGTTTTATACCCTTTTTTGTCATTTAAATCTAGACAATTTGAAAGGAAAGGGAGATATGTCGATTTAACAGAAAAAAAATTCCTTTCTATCCGACATTTGAAAAATTTTTAGACTTTTCCTAAAGGGTTGTCAATACTATGGTTGTCGAAGTTTTTTGTTTACATCAGTGCACGGTTGCGGAAGGAGAAAGTGTTTTATACCCTTTTTTGTCATTTAAATCTAGACAATTTGAAAGGAAAGGGAGATATGTCGATTTAACAGAAAAAAAATTCCTTTCTATCCGACATTTGAAAAATTTTTAGACTTTTCCTAAAGGGTTGTCAATACTATGGTTGTCGAAGTTTTTTGTTTACATCAGTGCACGGTTGCGGAAGGAGAAAGTGTTTTATACCCTTTTTTGTCATTTAAATCTAGACAATTTGAAAGGAAAGGGAGATATGTCGATTTAACAGAAAAAAAATTCCTTTCTATCCGACATTTGAAAAATTTTTAGACTTTTCCTAAAGGGTTGTCAATACTATGGTTGTCGAAGTTTTTTGTTTACATCAGTGCACGGTTGCGGAAGGAGAAAGTGTTTTATACCCTTTTTTGTCCTTTAAATCTAGACAATTTGAAAGGAAAGAGAAATATCGAGACATAGAACAATAAATTGTTGTCAGGCAAACATTTTTAACATGTATGCTATTTCACAACGATTGCTTGTGCAAAACACGTAGGCAAGCATACTATAGAGCAGGAATTTCTTTTTGTAATTTCTGTTGGTTGCAGTTGTTGCAGACTATTTCAGCCTTCAAACACTGTACATTTCTGACTTGATTTATGTCTGAGTTTGGTTCCTAAATTTTCTTTTATTATTATTCAAATTTCTACAACTTCTTCAATTTTTATAATTAAACTTTAATTAATTTTGCAAAGATAGCATATTGGTATGAGCAAGGATTTCTCAGTCAAGCAAAACTTTTACATTTAGGTTTTATGGGCTTCCAAAAAACGATATTTTATGAAAAAAGACCCTGAAGGTGTGATGGCATCGTTAACTCTTTACAAGATTTTTTATGCATTGGTTGTAATTTGTTATCAATCGATCAAATTTTAATCTGTTATTTCACAAACTTTTTACCCGAGGTCAATTCTGAATTTTCACGGCCTCTACGCGGTAAAACTCTCATTGAACAGGAACGTTTATTTTGCATCGACATCAAATCATGTCTGATTCGACTGATGTTCTCCCCTCAAATCATTTCTGTAACACGAAGGATGTGGTTTTTAGCAAACGACGCCATCAGGCTGTGCTACAAGCAGTTGTTTCTTGCACGGAGATATTTCATGAACCACTATCTTCCTTCTTTGTAACTGCCGCTTCCTTTACGTTGATTACTTCTCTAAATTTTAATCGCCATGGATTTGGGTGTGCCAATTTGCTCCCAAATTTCGATGAAACTTTTCATCTATCTACCTTATAATTCTATGAATATGTGCCCGCCCATAGACTCAAAAATAGATGCATTAAAACTATGTTGGTTTTAATTTTCGTAATTTTTTACATGGATAAAGGGGTTTGTATATTGGTAATATTTTGCTTTTTCTCGGACTGCAGTTTGATAAGTTCAAAAAGACTTTCCCCTTCGCTAGTTTTTTTCCAGTTAGCAGCCAAATATTGTCGACTTTTGAAAACAACTCTCCATTGTACCATTCTGATTTCCTTTTAACATATTGTCGTGTGACGTCATAGAAGAGATTGTTACTTGTGGCTAGTACCAAGATAAAATAAGAGAACTTTAAGAGAAAATAAGAGAAGAGTCTCTTATTTTATCTTGCTAGTACCTTGCCTTTCTAAGGCCTTGCGGCATATAGAATGTCACCAAACATCTTGTAAGCGCTTCTGATTGCTTACTCCACTGAATGGCTCTGTTCTTTATGCAAGACTGTGTCGCTGAATGAAAGTGAAAGTATGTCCAAGTGGCAAAGGTTTTTGTCAGGATTATCAATAAGTATTAAAAGCATAAAATTAGCACGCTTTTGCTTCCCATTGGCGTCAACTTATGAATTCCACTCGACGTTATTTTTGTGTCATGTTCTGCGTACTGGTAATCGTGGGAAATGCGGATTGATGTAAAGGAAAACAAGTTTACAAAGACAAATGGTTCTTCTTCAGGATTAATGGTGTAACAGAAACGATCACTGGCCAATGTCCTCCTAAATTCTTCAAGGAGTCATATTTTCAAGGCTGTGTCAATACATCGTTTCCCATTACTCTGTTAGGCCACTTTTAACAATCCTCTTGGTCATTGCTAAGGTGGAACGGTATCCCATGCGATATCCCAGTTTTTAACGCTGCTGAATCTTGATACAGCTGTAGATAAATCATTAGTTTCGAATGCTAAACTCGAGTAATCTTGAAGGAACAACTGTCTTTCAAATTAATAAAAATATGACCAGTTTGACCAGGGAAACTTGTAGTTCTTTATTCATCCTATCCATGTTTTTACCTGCTATAGTTTTAATCATATTCTGTAATATTTCACAGGCGGATGTTTCCAGTGATCAAAGTAAGCATATCTGGACTGAACCCAAAGCTAAAATACATTCTTGTGATGGATATTGTCCCTGTCGATGACAACAGGTACAAGTACCACAATTCAGAATGGACAATAGCAGGCAAAGCAGAGCCTCATATGCCAGGCAGGTTGTACGTCCACCCAGACTCGCCATCAACTGGTGCACAGCTCATGAGACAAGTGATCAGTTTTCAGAAGATCAAGCTCACAAACAACCACCTCGACCAATCAGGACATGTAGGTTGAAGCAATCATTAGTTCTTTACATCGCCATACTTAGGAAGGGCCTAGCAAATTTTGTAAATTAATGGATTTGAAGAAGATTAGTAGGCTATACTCGTTTACAAAGCCACATCCATATCAATGTTTGGACAACTTCTATTTGGTCTTCGACTACGCCTTTGTGCTTTCAAAATATGAGCACATCTAAGATCCATAAGTATCAGATCAAGAGGACAAAAAATGATGTTCTCACTTATCATGCCAGTGAGATGTTTCTTAACTGACATTACCCAGGGATTTCATGTTCCTTCAAAGTTCGGACTGGGTTCAAAAGAGTCACTAGCTTAAGGAATGGTTTTCATGGCAGATTTGGTCAACTTTCCACATACTTATAGCTTTTAAGAATTGATTAAGACTTCAGCACAGGAAGCCCTTCATTAATGTGTTTAAAGGGAATCTCATTGCAGGGATCTTGAAAAATATAAATTATGTGCAGTCAGGAAGACCCCCACCCCTTTTTTCAAGATATTCTTTAGCCCTGGATCATTTTTGCTTCCCACCCAGCCACAATGAGAAATGCCTTGGTTTATAACGACCATCGAGTTATGATGGTATTATTATAATCCATGATTGTATCAGAAGTCTACATGCAATCAAAGAATTAGCGTGTTGCACGGAAGTAGCAAAGATGTTTTAACGTGTCGGTTGATATCCTATGTAAGATGGGCATTTAACTATGACTCTTCCCAGCCGTCCAAGATACTGTTCCAGCTTAATGGTACATAATAAATTTCAACTTTGAGCGTCCGCTCCTCACAAATGACAGCGGGCTTTCTGATCTAGTTTCAAGTTGCGAAGGTCATGCTCCACGAATTAGCTCTGATTTTAAGACCTTTGCTGCATCAAAAATCTTATTGAATTAACTTTTACCCTACATCTGATTCTCAGTTTTTTCATTGATGACTAAAGCAATCAAAATGAAATAACTGCAAACAAAAGTCCCATCAATATTCAATATCATAAAAAGATGCCTATTAAGCAAACGTGTCATTTGTTGCCGCTTTGTTTTTTCTTTTCATTCTATATTTTGCTAAATGCTTTTTAATGCTTTTGTGATCAATTAGTTCTCGTGTTTCTACCAGGTCATGTTTCACTCATACCTGACCTATAAAGCTTCAAATCATTTAACTTGTTATTTATTTTTCACTATTTGTTGCTAAAGTGAGACCAGATGACCAAATTTACTATAAGAATTGTCGTTTTACCTACTTTGGCAAAATGCTTTAAAATTCATAAATAAATGAAAAAGCAATGCATTTCATGGGGGCCTATGAAGATTGACTTCCTCTATAATGAGGTTAAGAGTTTTTGCTATTTTCCGCAATGCCTTCTATATTGCCGAAGTCCACCCCTTTATTTTTAAAAAGATTTTCAAAAAATTTAGCTTCAACTCGTGTTACTAATAATCATTGCAATTCATTCGTATTTTAGGATGGTTACCTCACAAAAGCTATTAGACAGGTTAGGTACCAAAATATACGTTGAAAAATATCGATTTTCTTCGGCTATGTTGGCATTCCACGTTGCTTCTACTGAGTTAGGCTTCAACTTGTAGATGTGACAATCTTTTTTATTAAGAATAAAGATTATCATAAAACGTTTTTTCCATAAGATATCATTGCTGCTCGGCGGCAATATTGAGAAACAAGCATTACTGACACTTTTTCTTTATTTTCAGATAATTCTGAACTCGATGCATAAATATCAGCCTCGAATTCACATAGTGCAAGCAGACGACAGTTCCCCGACTGCCCTTCGAAAAAGCACCTTCACTACGCATGTGTTTACCGAGACCGAGTTCATGGCTGTGACCGCATACCAGAATCCTCGGGTAGGTTTACTAGACACGCTCGAAAACATTTTCTTGATTTGCGTTTTTCTGTTTGATATTGCATGCGGACATTAATACTATTTTCAACTTGCTCTGAGATAGATTGCTATCTCCATATTCTTAGCTTGCCAACAACCCAGCAATCTTTGTAGGAATATTATCGAAAAAAATTACGAATTACTTATGACCATTAAGACCCCGTTTAAACTACAGAAAGAAGAACGGAACTCTTGGTTCCGTTCTTGTTTGGGCACGATACCCCTTTTTTCATCGCGTTTACACTGAAGCAAAAAGGAACGGAACCAAAATGAACCCGTTTACATTTAAGCAAAAGAACGGATCTTTCATGTGAAGCATGCGCAGTGGCGCGGCAATGACGTCTGACATTTTCAGGAAGCCTCGCCCCAACCCTAGATAAAGCCCCGTTTTAGATCGTAACCAGACAGTTTCGTTCCTGACCGTTTACACTAGAAAAAACAAGCACGATTTGGGAACGGAACCAAAGAGTTTCGCATTTCAGCGAAACCAAAGAAGAATGGAACCGTTCCAAAACTAGCACGAAACCAAGATGCCTAGTGTAAACGCAAGGCCTATCGTCGCTTTTCAAGAACGGAACCAAAGTGTTCCGTTTGTTTCTCTGTAGTGTAAACGGGTTCTAAATCTAAAGCATAAATTATATTATTTTGGCTTTAAGCATGCTCCTCCCCGTAAAAATTTTTATCCCTCCAATACGTAATATGTTCTGCAGACCCTCAGTTCAAGAGTTTCTTGACTAGGAATTTGATAATCTACTGTTTGACATTGCCATCACATGGTTATACTCGAGGTGGAACGTCTGTTTATGCTTTACACAATTGCCTAAACTAATGATTTTTTGGCGTTTTTGCGATTAATATCATGCGAATTCACTTTATTCTGGATTTGACTAAAGACAATCTATTCTAGACAACCCAGCTGAAGATTGAGCACAACCCCTTTGCGAAAGGATTTCGAGGTGGCTGCAACACTGATCATTACGCGAGCATGAAGAGGTATGTACTTAATGTGTATTTGAATTTCAATAGCCTTGCTTTGATGACCGTAATTCTTGGTAAATCGTATCTGAGTACCTTAAATTCTCTGAAGCAACAGTTTTCTCATTGTTCAGTTATAGATGTACATTAAATGAGAAAAAACCCTGTTTTAAAAACATGAGTATAGAGGTACATGAGAGAAAAAACCCCTAGTGTGACAGCCTTTACACAAAAGGTTTTTGTAACAGAAAGAAGTGTTTGGGCCACTTTGTCTCTGAAAAAAGGACAAGATCCAATTTGAGATCTGATATAACTTCTGATATAACTTATGAGACAGGCTTCTGATATAACTTAAAAACTATACAACCAGCAGGAGATACTGGCATTTCTTTTTGAGCTCAAACGTTTGTCGCTTGGATGCTTAAAGATCTTCAGAGCAGAGATTTATTGAACTTCTGAAATTGTTTCCGACAGTCTTGGCATGGTAACAATTTACTAAAAAAGGTGTCATCCGTGGTTATTTGGCTCAGCCTAAATGTTTCTGGCCTGGCACTTAAATAATTGTGGCGTTCGCCGAAAATCTTTCAAAACCCAAACGAGAAAGCGCTTCCCAGAGGCAACGAAAGCTAATAAAGTTCTTCGCTTTCCAGTTGATGACAGCAGACTTAATACTCAACAGAAAACCCAAAAGATAGATGACCAAGATACTGAGAAAAGACATCAAATTAATAACGATGATTTATAACAAAAACTGATCAGTACCGATCTAAAGGTGTTTCATTTGTTGAAGTGGGTGTCAATTCGCGAATTATGATTTGGAATTTCTAATGGTTTGGCGGTTAATTTGTTCCGCTGACGCAGAATCTGGTGCAGGCCAATGTAGAACATCGTGTTGATTCACTGAACTAAACCACAAATTAAATGTGTTCCCCTCTATAAATTCTTGACTCCGCTCGAAGCTCGATTGGTTTCTTCAAAAGCAGCCTGTCCGCTGTTAAAGATAAAGTAAAGAACCTTATTTTATCTTGCTTATATCCTTAGCCGTCATTATTTACATATCTTTTGTAAGTAATTCGACTTTTGGTAGTTGCATGTCCAGGGCCTGTTTGCTGAATACTGTTATTGTCCTGGAAAGAATAGTTCTGTTGACCTAGTTTTTGGGTAGTACCCTTTTTGCAACAGAGAACATCCTCTAAGACTACCAACCATGTTCGGGCTTGCGCAATCGAAGGAAGGCTACGTAATTTTTCGAAGTTTTTCGTCTTCTACGTATGGCTCGGAGAACACTTGATCGAGATTTCAAAACAGGGCAGTCACACGGATACATGTATATTTGATATTCAAAGAAGAAGACTCATTTAGAACTGATAGCAAGAAGCATCGAAGAAGATTCATTTAGCATGGCATTGATATCAATAATTTCTTCTATATATAACAGCACATTATTCAAGACCATGGTTCCCACGTTTCTTATGAATTTTTGACAGCATTTGAATTCTGTACTTTGTCTAATTTTGGACCTCATTAACCCTTAAAGCTATCATGTCCTTGTTACTTTGTTTGTCTTCTCACAGGTACCACGAGCAAGACCTATATTACGCAGCGAAACGTGTCTATCAACCTGCAATGTCAAGCATGGCCGGAATCAGTAGAACGTGCCCAACGATGTATAATCCGCCACAAAAACCATACTCCGACATATACGGTAAGTGCCCATATCTCAGTGCTTCCTCGGCACCTTTTTCTTGTAGCAATTAAAGATTGAAAACTTGGAAGATGGCTTTGCATTTTTCTGGTGGTTCATTGCTACAAAATACATGGCTACATAGCTACAATATTTTGTTAAAGTAATACCTTAATTACAATACCTTTAATGTCTTATTGTTTTTTAACAACTTGCTCCTTTTTCCCTAATTTCCTCGTATATATACATAAAAATCTGATGCAACGAAATTTATTTCCATATATCAATGAATCATTTTTTCTTTTACACGGATGCAGGGTTATTTGGAGAAAGCTGTTATTCGGAAAGATCAGTTATTCGGAAAACCTTGATTTCATCGAATGGAATATCAAAATGATTACCATTTTTTCAACTAAATTGCCGTTAATACTGCGTTACTATTATCTGCTAGCTGGAAAATTAAATTCATGAGGATTATATGACATGACAAATTACTAACAAATTCTCATTATTTCAATAGAACAGGATTGGGTAGGATCGTATATGATAAAAAGAAAAGACACAAATTTTTCATTAAGGTTCGCTCTCTAAAATATCCTAATTTATATTCACCAGGTTCCTCGAACTATGGAACAATGGAGTACCCTTATGCCACCAACCAACCTTACATTTCTAAATCTTGCAGCCCGGAACAAGAATCATATTCGACTTCCAAGGAGGAGCGCTCACCTAGCTCCTCCCCAGCCTCTCCGGAATCCAACGTGCCGCACGGCTTCCCAAGCGGCCCTGCACCGCCTTTGGCCCATCCACCAGCTCATGCCATGAGTGCTGGATACCCGATGCCGCCAACCGGCTATCTCGCCAACGGTATGTCCTCTGTGTATGGATATCCACAGTCATATTGCAGTATTTATACGTCGCCTTCCGAAAACTACCATGGTCGGGCAGAACACTGCATGCGATCTGCCTACAGCTGGCAGCCTGATAATGCTTATCACTAAGAAGTTGGTGACCTCTTAATGATAACCGGGTCTGGTCCTATTGTAAAGCTGGACAACTGCATGAACGGTTGAAGTTGCAGGGAAGAGCTCGATTGGGACAGTAGAAACATTTGAAGCTTGCCATGGATCGAGGAACCCTCATCATTTCCCGAATCTCGAACCTTCAGTGAGATTTTTATAGGCATCGACAGAATTAAGGTCATCTACTTGCAAGAGGCCTCCAATTTCAAGCTATTGTACTTCCAAATTTCTCCCATTCGAATCCTCTCTTTAATTAACGAAATCCTTTTCTTGATTGGGAATTTTTCAACGTATACTCTCTGTTAATTGCTAAGAGGTGTGCCGTGGATAACTGGCCACAATCCTAATCGTCAGCCATCAAACTGAGAAAACAACCAAATGTAAAGCCTAGAGTTGTGGGGGGGGGGTATCAGCCCCAAGCCCAACAATTAGCAAAATAGGCAACACAGTATACAATATTTAGAGATACGATATTCACCATTTTTGTAAGGTTTTTTTTAACTATTTTTCACTTTAACCTCAACACTGAGAGGCCTGATAAGTATCCACTGCTTGAGCCCCCATCGCTTACTGTTTTAGCTGTCCATAGCCTCCTCTGCCCATTTTTGCCAAAAAAATTGAAATTGAAATGCATAACATTGTTCAAACATTATGTATCTTACCAAAAAAACTTTTTACACGTATTCTGAGTGTTTACTGTAAATGTGAGTGTATTGCTTTATCTAGATGGGTACGTTGAGTTCGTCCCTGCCTATACCTGAAAATAGTGTAGAAAATGTTAGATAAATTTTATGGACAATATACAGATAGAGATAATTTAACCTGTTTTATAATCAATGTTGACAAATTAGAAAATAAGGAAATGGAATCCTAAATAATGCGCATGACTGCTATAACGACATTTTCACTCAATTTCTCGTTTGTGAATGTGATTGTTTTAATTGATTGCAACCAACGAAGGGGTTGAATGAAAAATGAATTTCATGGCAATCGATATGTATTATTGTGGCCTAAACGACCTTTCAATCGACAATTGACCAATCAATAAGCATGAACGGCTAACACGTGAATTGATTGGTCAATAATTGATTGACACATGGCTTGGGCCACAATTGCCTTCAATTGGTGATATTACAATTTTGCTTAGGGACTTACTATGTTTACTGTTTCTTAAGAATTTAACTGATGAAAAATTGGTATTAAATTCAAGCTATAAGCTGTTTTTGCAAAATAGATATGGTGGACTAACTCTGGTCTTGACAAACCAATAGTTAGCTCCAAAATGCCCCGACTAATTTGAACCCGTATTAATAATTGTAGAATTGTACTCATGAACTAGTTTCAATTTTATAGTGGAGTTTGTTTCACTGTGTTTTCCTGTTCCATTAGGATTTCGAAATTGGATTGGAAAAGGTTTCCTCAAAATCTTTACAGTATATTAATCAACATTGGCCGCGCAATATACCTTTGTTTTAGAATCCTAAATGTTTTGATAGCAGAATGACCGGGGTTGGGATGTCTTGTAATCATTATTAATTGGTCTTACGTGTCTGCTGATACTCTGCTTCTACCTTAATAGTGCCACCAATGCCCGTTCCTTTGGCCTATGAAGATAAAACCTAATTCCTTTGGCCAAACTGTTGTCAAATGCCAACAGTTTCCAGATAATACGTTCTTCGCATTTTAAACGTTTCTTGACTAAGAAATAGCTTGAAGTAGGTGACACTTTCACAGAACGTGACCCTGAATGTAAAGTCTTTACTGCAGATAATGCACAAACAATTTAGATGATAGTGAAAAAGGGCAAAAGGTGTTTCAGGGGCATGTGTTGCAAATCTTTATATATTTCTGGAAGCAGGACAACAAAGATCAAAACTGCCTCTTCTTTGTAAGAACCAGTAAATTGAAGTTCAGGCTGGCTGATCTTAATTTTCTCAAAAATTTGAGGCTGGATTGTTCTTAATTTGTTCTTCAGTTATAAGAGTGTAAGTCATTGCTTGTTAGTATGCCCTAGGAGTGTGTTCAGGCGACAAAGAAGCCAACAAAGAAGGTGAGACATTCATTATTTGCCGCCAAATTTGAAAATTTACCAAAAAATACCCCTAGATTGCAACAAACTCCTGGTTTTCGGGATGAAATTTTTCAAAGTGCTCTCATAACATTGTTCAAAATTACATTTTACAGTAGCTGAAAGCTCGGCTTGTTCTAATTTCTCTAATTTTTGGGCAATTTTGAGGCTCGTCTGCTAATAAAAGAGTTCTAAAAAATAAGAGTGCATGGCTTGCCAGCCATGTCAATTTGAATTTAATGTTTGATACCAGAACATGTTTCTTGCACTCACAAACTTTTGCTCATTGTAAGCATGTATTTATTCTGATCAAAATTGTGTTGCCTTCTATCTAAATCTGTTTTTTCTCAATCCAAAGTTGGAAGCAAACGTGGAAGCATACAGCAGAAATGCATATCCAAACCGACAATTTTGCTTTCCGAACTCCAAATTTTAGCTTTTAAAGTGAAAAATATTGATGAAAAAACAGCTAATTTTAAATTAAAAAACAGCATTCTGATACTACAACAAAAATTCTCATTTCATTTGATGAGGTGGCTTGCCATACAAACATGCTAAATGTTAATTTGGCCCTCTAGACCTTCTTAGGTGTAATCGAGCGGGAAGATGCGCAAGCAGTTTGAGCCCCACATTGCCAAAGACGACAGGAAAACCCGCAAGTCAAAATCAATGAAACTCTGCATCATATGCGCATGCGTGTAAAAACAGCCATCTCGCGCCATCAATCAAGTTGAAATGCTGACCAGGGCGGATTTTATTTGTAGTGAAAATAAGATTGTTTTGTAACAATGGTTCGATTGGCAAATCTTTAAATATTTTTCCTGCTCTTTATTGAGATAATTTTTAATAAACAACCAATAAATCCAATACTTTGCCTTTAACCTCTATTAGCATTTCTCTTTCCTTGTAAAAAATTTCTTAGATACGTCTTGCATCCACGGCCAACCTCTCAATTCGTTTAATAAATTTTAACTTTGACGCGGATAAACGAATGAAGCAGGTCTCGAGAATATCGAAAGCATAGTTTTCCCAAACATCTGAAACTTTGCTATCCCTGCATCCCTTGCGACGCAATATATATAACAAAAATGTTTATCCATAAGAACGCGTAAGGCATGTTTTTATTCATGAAATTGTTTGTATCTGCATACGGAAGCAGTTTATGGATGTCAATAGTTCTTGAAAAAACGAAAGTCTCTAGCAGCATAGCAGTCCTTAAATTCACAAGAGCTGTGGCTAGATTTCACAGCTCACAAGAAGCATTGTTTAGTCTTCTACGAAAGGGCCAGACATTGACTGACGTGGGCGTCAGAGTCATCCTAGAATCCTCGGTATCGGGTAACTAAGTGATATTGCAGGACGTAAACGAGACCTCAGAAACCAAGATTGGTAAGCGATGGTTTGAGCGCATAATCCGCTTACGGAGGCCATCCTGTAAACTGAATGGACAACAGTTGTATGACCGATTTGATGGACGAAATAAAAAATGATATCTTTGTTGATGACCGTTAAAAATATTTGGATTCTTCCAAAATTCAGCGATCATGTCTAAGACTTTTTGAAAAGATTAGTGAGCTGATAAAAGGTTGACGCGGGCGGAAGATTCTTTTTAGCGGTAACTTCGAACCTCGTTTTGATTCAAATGGGCAATACGTTGTGCTGATTCTTTTTTATCTCAAAAAGCCAAACATTAAAGAAAAACCTGTATTGAAAACCTAATTGCAGCGCCTCTCTCGTCGTGTATCAATTTCCAATAAAAGTTCGAATTCGACCTACCTTTAAAAATAACATTTTTACCAATCTTTCATTTTAAAAATCATGAAGACCGTGTTTAGCAAAAGTGGAAAGGGATTTTACTTCTAGAATCTCCACCAGCGACTTCCCTCCAGCCTTTAACTGGGCAGCTGTGCTCAACGGTTTAACTGCGCAAGGGTTTATCGTTGGACGTAGAACATCAGAAAAATGCACAATGGGTTTTTACTGAAAGAAACAAAATGCTAGTCTTTTCGCTCTTGCATATTTAATTTGTGTTTCCAAAGGAACGGTAATTACAAGGTCTACAATATTCTATTCAGCTACCGCATCAAATGTGTTCGTGCTTCGTTTCAATGAAATTTTCTAGACCATATGTTATGCAGAGATGCAAATGGTATTTTTGTCCTGTCGTAAGAGTGTTATCAGCTGATCGCTAGATTTGTTTGCAGATCTACGAATACCTTACGGCAGAAATAGACTTGTGATGAATATACGGCGTCTGAAATGGCTTATTCTCGAGCTTCACGGTTTGAGTAGGTGGGACCTTCCTTGACCTGACCGCTAATGCTCGTTTCTCAAGACATAACGAGGTTTACAAGGGCAAATCGCTCGACCCCTAGTCCTCTGGTTATGAGCGAGTCATCTTCCTGCAAGCAAGCTCGTTTGGCTTCTGTCATCGACGCACTTCCTAAGGCTAGAGTCAAAACAATACAAACGGGTCGGGGAAAGAATGCATAACTCTTAGTTCTGTCTTATTCGTGTAATTTGTAATCTGAAGCATTTGTTTTTATGATAGTTTGTAAAAATATACCTCCGAAAGATCAAAAATCACACACAGCATTCAGAAGGAGAGTTACTTTTGGAAAGAAAAGGAAGGTAAATCTTGTTGAAAATGTTTACACTCTTTCTGTTTTACACTACTAGCGAACATATGAAGGGGAATGGATCCTTAGGCAAGATAAAATGAATGTTCAAAAATGCACTGTAATTAGATTATTGTTACACTCTTTTCACGACAAATTAATAGAGGTTTTATGGAACAAGATGCCAAGGAAATATGATAAATTGGAAAATAGGGACGTTGTAAACTTTCAATGGTTTTATGAGAAGTGTTGAAAATGATTTTAGTATTGCGGGCGTAAAGGAGAAAAGTATTCGGTGTAATTTGCAAGAACATCAGTTCTGCTCATTTTTGCAGGTACCTTTTGCATAACAATGTTGCAAAAAACAAAATCAAATGTAGACTGTGCTCATTGGACATAGCAATGAATCAAAATAGGAGATATTACCAATAGAAAAAGAACGAAAAGAGCGACAACAGCAAACAGTGACTTTATTGGTCGATATCATATCAAGTATTAGGATTCAAAATGATTAGATGTTTGTTATATTTCTTTAATTAATGAATTTCAAGTATTAGCTGTTAAATCTGTACTCATGACGGAGGTAAAACTTAGAGAAAACTCATTACATTATTGTACTTAACGCATTCAACAAAAACAAATGTTAACATAACAATATCTGCCATCTTGCTAATCGAACTAACAAAAACGTGGTGCGCGGTCAGAGAACTAGGCACCACTGAAAGGATAATGTTTCATTATAGTAAATGTTCATGTTCACACATAGGTAAATGTAAGTCAAATGTCAACATTAACTAACGGAAAAATTATTGAATGTCTTTTGAACAAGAAGGTAATTATTTTCATAAATTTTCTTAACAAGAAGGTCTTTTGAACAAGAAGGTAATTAGAAGCCAGCAGAAAATACTATAAAATACAGACTTTGTGACTAAAGCAATTGACAATTGATTGCATTTGTAATAAAAATGAATCTGCTTTAAGGCTTCTACAGAAAGAGGAATAAAAGAAACACGTCGTTTCCTCAAGTGCTTCTTTTCGTAACTGATTTTCAATCACGAACAGTTCAATTAAAAGGAATGCTTAATTTGTAACTAGCTCAGCATTTATCCATGTTAAAATATAAATATGACAAGGCCCTATATTTTCAAGTTCATTTCATCTCGCAATGGTATTCATTGGAAATTTAAGCGTTGTAACTCAAAGCATTTCGAGGATCATAAACAATGAAGAAGCAGTTCGAAAAAACAACACGTTGTAGATTCATGGTTATTGAGTTTGTCTATGTTGATACTGAAGTCTTTCGAATAAACAATTATGGAATACTTTTTTCTGAAAACTTTGCTGAAAATCATGTTAAGCATGTTTTGTTGTCTCCAGAGTCCATGAGCTTCTTTTTCATGTATCCGAAGTCATCTAGTGTTATGATAATCAATGTAATTTAGCGTGCTTGTACGTCGATGAATAATTACAAAAAATCAATATAATCAAAGGCTCATGCATATTTTTCATAAATTCATTCAGCCTTGATGACGTGATCTCTAAATTCCTTCAATCAAAAGAAAGCAACTCTTTACTTGTAGAAATCCTGCATAGATAATGCTTCGTGGCAAGCACCTTCTTCTGACCAAGATAAAAGAATAAG